CCCCAAAACCCCAAAACCCCAAAACCCCAAAACCCCTATCTTAGCATAATAATTGATTTTAAAGATGCTAAGAACCTTCAAAAGACCGTCAGCTTTGTCCAAATACCACTTCAGCACCTCCCGACCCACCCTAAAAACACTCCACTTCCAAAACTCCTTATCCAAAACCCTTGTTCCCTTCACTCCATTAACATCCCCACTCTCCTTCTACGTCTGTGGCCCTACCGTCTACTCCCACTCACACCTCGGGCACGCTCGAGCCTACACGACCACCGACATGATACGAAGAGTTCTTCGTGACTACTTCAACTACGAAGTCCAGTTCTGCATGAACATCACCGATGTCGACGACAAGATCATCCACAAAAGTCACGAACAAGGCAAGGAAGTCAGACAAGTCGCCAAGGAATTTGAGAAAGAATTTATGGACAGAATGCAGGATTTGGCAGTCGAGCCTCCAGATTTTGTACCAAGAGTCAGTGAGTACGTGCAGGAGGTGGTCCAGTTTGTACAGAGGTTGGAGAAAAAGGGATTTGCGTATGAAGCTAATGGGTCTGTGTATTTTGATGTGAAGGAGTATTTGCAGAGAGGGAATGAGTACCCGAAGCTTAATATAGCAGCCAAAGAGCAGTTAGAGAAGCTTCTTGAGGAGGGAGAAGGTGTTTTGAGCAATGGTGAACTAAGTGGGGAAAAGAAAAGTCCCCAAGATTTTGTATTATGGAAGAAATCTAAAGAAAATGAACCCTTTTGGGAATCAAAATGGGGGAATGGGAGACCTGGATGGCATATTGAGTGTTCAGTCATGAGTCATGAAGTTTTTCAAAGGTATCCAATAGATATCCACGCTGGTGGTGAAGATTTAAAATTTCCACATCATGATAACGAAATTGCTCAATCAGAAGCTCATCATGGTTGAGATAAAGTAACTATAAACAAAGCTAATAATGATATAGTGGGTTAATTACTGGATACATATTGGACATTTACATATTGATAAGCAAAAGATGTCAAAGAGCTTAAAGAATTTTATAAAAATTAAAGAATTCTTGAAACTTTACTCATCAAGACAAATAAGATTCTTATTTTTGCTTCAAAAATGGAACAAAATAATGAACTTTGATCCTAAAGTATCTATGGCTGAGGCAATTGCTAAAGATAGCCAATTTAGTGAATTTTTCAAACAAGCTAGAGCAATTGTCAGAAACTATGAGATTCATCAGACTTCCCAAAAATTTAATATGGAAGATAAACAGTTGGATTCTTTCCTGAGAGATACAAAAGAAAGGGTTCATCATCACTTATGAAATAATATTGACACTCCTTCAGTGATCAATGAGTTGAGTTCATTGATCATAAAGACAAATTCTTACATGAAAAGTGGAGATAATGAGCTCAAAGCTCCCTTAATTCTCTCTATTTCTAGGTTCATTCTGAAGATATCTCAATGCTTAGGACTTATAAATGACGATCCATTTGGGTTTGATTCAACGCAAGAACTTACTGATGAAACCTCTATAGAACCCTTTGTTCAGGCAACTGTAGATTTGAGAGATAGAATCAAGAAATTAGTCTTTAAAAGCAATATTAAAAAGGAATTATTTGAAGAACTTGATAAAATTAGGGACGAAGACCTTGCTCGACTTGGAATTCGATTGGAAGATTCAACCACAGGTGGATCATCTACTTGGATAAAAGAGGATCCTGATGTCTTACTAAGTAATATTAAGGAAAGAAAGCTAGGGAAGAAACAGAAAACAAACAAAGCTAAGAAACCTAGTTAGTCCAAAAGAAAGAAAACTATATAACTTTTAATAAAAATACTCTAAGCTGAGCTATTGATTTTACCTATTGATTGGAATTTTGCATTATGAGCCACCATAATTCAAAGGAGCCAATGGGACTTTAGAAAGAGTTTACAAAAATCTAAGCCTGAGAAATATCTTAGAGTCTTGAAAATGTAGAGGTCGAGGATTTTCAATAAAGTCATACAAATATGGGGTTTTGGGGTTTTGGGGTTTTGGGG